CACACTTCCTGTATCTGCACTGATGTCTTGCTTTGAGGAGAAATCTCACGTCTTTCAGAGGCTCATAGGAGTAGCTTTCTCCTTTCCTGTTCTTCAGACAGTTCCGAAGGGACTGGCTTTATTCCAGAAAGATGAATCCCGTTTTGTCTCTGCCAGCTTTATTGTAGTGGATGTGGCAAGTATCACTGAGAAGGGGCCTTTCCATTTTGGCTTTCATTGGTCAGTGGGTGTCCCCTGTCTCCGGGTTTTTACCAGTACTTGGTCTCCGGGACAGACAGTAGGTGGTCCTTTGGGGCCAGGAGCTGCAGGACTCTGTTCTCAGACATTTGGATAGCCTGTTGTTCTTGGCCCAGATCAATGAGATATTTTAAGACCCTTGTGGTGTCAGGGTCTGCTATCATATCAGATAGAAATGGCCTCCCATATAACATCTGAAATGGGTTCAAACTTAGCCCAGTCTTGGGCGCGTTAAGAACCCTTATGAGCACTGTTGACAGCAGTCAGAGCCAGGACTTAGTGCGTCTTGGCTAGAGCTTATTTTAGGGTCTTGTTGGCTCTCTCCACCTTTCCAGAAGACGGAGACCCACTTCCCATATAGAGTTTTTATACTTTATCCCTGTGCCCCTTGAGGAAAGACCAGAATGGTTCCTCAGAAACTGAGACTAAGACTAGGGCCTTGAGGCACTGTAGGGCTGTCCTTCTTGCTATCCTTCAGCTTTTGATTTCCGAAGGAGATTTCAGGCATGTCTCTTTGGTGCCCTGTACAATGCGACCTGCTTGGGAAGATGGACTGCCTCTAGAACTTGTGGAATTTCCTGCCTGTGTTTTATAGATGATTGACAAAGCCACTTTCATCAATGACCCACACCTCCTCAAGGTTTGAATGGATAGGTCGCTGATGTCCTGCCCACTTGCATAGGGCTGGGAGATCGCTTGTTTACAAGACTAGCTAATTTCCTGTAGCCATCAAGGAAGCACAGTTTATAGTAGTGCAAGTTTTTATAATAACCTCAGGGATGTCTAAGAACATGGCCTACCTAATAGTTGGTGAGCTGTTCTACTGTTAACTATAGGAAACCTTTTGTCTCCAGAAAAACTCTGGGTGGGCAGTCAGGACTTGTATTCTCTGTCTCAAAGTTAACTTTGCAGCTTCTTCTGTTAGTACAGCTGCAAAGACTCTTGTTAGAGGTGCCCTTGACTCCAGCCATGGCTGTAGATCCAGAGGAGGGTTTTCTAGAGAAGTAAGTCAAAACAGTAAAGTAATTGAATTGACTCAACCGTGATGCTAAGATTACCCAGGGTTCCTTGGAGGAATGATGTCTGTGAATGCAGATTGTTCTCCTGGGCCTCTTCAGTTGTCAGTGTAGGAATGAGGGTCCTGCTTGGTCTAGTTCCTCTGGGAGCAGGGACAGTCAAACCTGCATTTGCAAGAATCAGTCTTTAGCTGTCTCACATACAGAGCAGGACCCACACGGGGCCTCGGTGCAATCTCTTGCTTGCCCAGTATCCATTCCTCGTACATTGAAACAGGAACCTTTTCCTTGGAGGTTCTTCTGGTCTCAAACAAAGAATTAAGTGAAGTGAGCAAAAAGCAGCAGCAAAGTCTATTTGAAAAAGTGACAGTGAAGAGTTAAGAAGAATCTGGCTCTGCAGAGTGAGCTTGAGCTGAGTAATAGAGGAAAGAGTGAAAATATGCCCTAGGGAAGCGGGCCGGCTAGCAGGAGGAGTGCCACCGTGGCCTGTAACAGTAGCCTTGATATATGCATTGATTGACGCCTGCTTATTTAAATTTACTTGAATGTTATTTTAAATTTTGTGAGATTGCTTTAGAATTTATGGAGAATAAAGCTAGAGACATTTACAGTGTATATGTCCTTTTACATTAGTCAAGAAAATGTTTTATTATGAAAATTTCAAATGCAGCAAAATGAAGTTAATAGTAAAACACCTATGTACCAATCACCTAGATTCTACTATTTACAGCTATTAAACTTGATTTATCGTGTATTTATTTTGCCTTCAATTCTTTTTTTTTGATTAATTTCAAAACCTTCCTAAATAATTAAACATAGATATCACTACATACAGGTAAATATTTGCTTATTTTTTTCTTTTGGGATAAAATTTACATGCAATGACACACAGATATTTTATGTGTACCATTAGAAAAGTTCTTAAAGTTCATGCCTGTTTGCAACTCATGAAAATATTTAATGTTCCCATCATCTCAGCGTTCTCTCATGCCTCTTCCCAGTCAGTTTACAACCCCATTTTCCAAGGAGCAATCACTATCTGATAATTCCCCCCCACCCCAGATTCTGGAACTCAGTGGAAATGGAATCATACAGTAAGGGTGTTCCCATTTGTTTGTTTAATCCATACTTGTGTTTCATTCCTTCCTTTCCTGATGGAATTTAAGAATCATTCTGTGTCAGCTAGCCACATCATAATTAATGTAATTAGTTAGCAGGTTTTATAAACTACTGGAATGTTAATTTGTATTAACATCCCAAATGAAACACCAGGCCCTGTTATGCAGAGAGAAAAAGCTGATGTGTCTATTCTTTACCTTTCTTTCTCTAATTCTGAAATTTCTTTTGGAGGGAAAGTGAATACAGAACTTAATTTGAGGATGGGGGTACTGGGTATTACACCCGTGAGTGCTCTGCCCCTGAGCTATTTTCTCGGCCCCTTTTATTTATTTTGAGAATGGATCTCAGTAATTTGCCTAGGTGGGATTTGAACTTGTCATCCTCTTGCCTCAACCTCCCAAAGTTCAGGGGTTATAGGCATGCACCACTGCACTCAGTGAAGGTGTTAATTTTAAGCATTGTAATAACTTTTCTTTTTCTTGCTCATAAGAACAAATGTCTGTAGCATGGGTCAGTTTCCATTTCTCTAAAATAATGTCATTCTCCATAAGTTGCCCAGTAATGTGACTTTTTTATGGTAATTTCTTGGAGAGAAGACCAATGAATTCTCATACATGTTATCACTTATTATGCTTTATTTTGTTCGTGTAGTATGCAGGAGTATGCTGCCCGTATTTTTTAGATTAGGTACATGTGCCACTCAGGTGTTGCAGTTAATATGAGGACTAGTGGGAACATAGAGTTCCTAAATCTCAGCTCAAAGCTTTGTTACATTTTCATGTACCTATCAAAAATGGTATGAACACTCACTGGTATACAACTTTCTAATAACATTTTATTACTGTCCTTCATATTTAAAATGCTGAAAGAAGTGCCTAATAAGAGTATCAAGGAAGGAAATATGAAAAATAGGGAAATAAGTCCAAGTTGTTGATTGCATTCTTGAGTTTCAGCCTGAATGCAATAAGATGACTGCAGATGTGTATTTCTTCATATATATTAAGCCTGATCCTCTCAGCGTCATTGAAATGACTAATTTTTCCAAGATTCTTTTATCAAAGAATAATGGCAACTGAATTATGCCAACTTAAATTTCTTCTCTAGAAGAGTTCTTTTCTATTATCAAAGAATGACAGCAGTGGAAGTATTCCAATTTATATTTCTTCTCTAAGGACATTAGTTCCTATAGGATTACTTACTAAAATACATTGTGTTGTTACTTTTTTTCTTCATAGTGCACACTTGATTTTTAAATTTTATATACAAGTAGTTAGAAAGGAGAATAAATTACATTCTCATAATTCTGTTAAGGAGTCTGTATTCTGGTCAGACCATGATTTCTTTATATTAACCATGTAGGAGTTTAAGTAATTGTACATTGTCAAGAGGTAGGCTAAACTCATGGTGAAGGTTTCCTCTTTGAATTGGAAAAAATAACACTCTACTATTCTGTTTTTGTCTTTTTCTTTGATGCTAAAAAGTAATAACCTTGTTACTACTTTAATTTTTTTCCCTTTATCCCAACCCTCATTGAGTTTCATGACCTGTTTATTTTGGAGAATGTCTTTAGCATTGTCACTTCTCATGTGGTTTAGGAAGATACCTTTAAAAAACAGCACATAAAAGGCCATATTTTTTAGAGATATATTTTGAAATATTTATAGTTTTAAAAAGATAAATCTGAGATTTGCTTTCAAATAATTGGGAGTGGCAGAGAAGTGAACAGAGGATAAATCTTGATTGTTGAATTAATCATTGTGTAAACCGGGTAATGGTATGGGTGCTTTCGTTTTATTTTCTCTACTTTTGTGTGTATTAAATTTTCCATGATCAGTTACAAAATGAAAATAGGATCCATATGGAAATTTTTATAAATTTCACCTTCTCTCTAAAAATAGTATGTAATAGAAATACCTGCATACCTATGTCTATTGCAACCTAATTCACAATAGCTAAGCTATTGAGTCAGTCTAGGAGCCTGTCAACAAATTAATAAAGAAAAAAAAATATATTATTCAGCCACAAAGAAAAACGAACCTGGAGTTTATCATGTTAAGTGAAATAAAACAGACTAAGAAGGTTTCACTTCATATGTGAAATCTTTTTTTTTTTTTTTTTATTTTTGGTTTTTCTCCGGTACCAGGAACCGAACCCACGACCTTGCGCTTGCCAGGCAGGCGCTTTGCCGCTGAGCTAAATCCCCAGCCCCCATATGTGAAATCTTGAGATAGCAACAACAAAAGAGATGACATGAATGTAAAGGGGCTGCTAGAGAAGAGGACGGGAAGAAGCGGGAGAAGGGGGAGGGAAGTAGAAGGTGAATGGCGTGGAAATTATCAAAGTGTGCTATACATGTGTATGAATCTGCTGAAATGAAGTCCATTAATCTGTATAACTAATAAGGCACTAATAAAAATAGTATAAAATGTGTGAGAGAGTCATGTTTTTCACTTTTGAACAAGACAGTTTTACCACATACAAATATAAATTTTAAGTGAACAGTTATCTTAGAAGATAAAGGTATACCGTATGCACAGCTGGATGAGCACAAGCTGTTGTTAGAAGTGAAGCCTTTGTGTGCTCCTAAAGCAGGTTTGCTTGAATGACTGATAGTTCTCCTTGCTTCAGGTAGTCCAGCAGCCATCAGGAGGCGTTGGAAACCAGGGGACCACAATTTCCCATTCCTCAGCAGTGACCATTCAGAAATCTACACAGAAGGTTCCAATGAACACTGTAATACCGACTAGTAAGTTTCCTGTAGATAAACGCTACCCCTTGTGAGTCCATCACAGGGAATTTGCAACATGGTGGGTTTTGCACAATTTGTTTATTTTTGGATTAAGAGAAGTTTGACCCTTTAAAGTTGTTCCTAAGAGAAGTCTGAAAGGTATTCTCACATCCTTTGTACAAATACAGGTACTTTTTATGGGTGTATGTTGTTTTGAAATTAAGAGAGCAACTGCTCATGGTATTCTGTAATTATATAAAACAATCTGTAGTAAATATATATTCTTTTAACTTAAAAATTTATTATATAGCATGATTTCTTTTTAAAATAGGTTTTTTTTCTCTGAGTTTAGAAATCAGTCTCACACATGTCAGGTAGAGTTTTTAAGTGTTAAAAAAATATATGTAAGTGATAGATTGTTAGCATGTTTTAGTCACCTTCTATGTATCTTTTTATAATGATGTTCATTCTATAGATAATTTGAGACCATATAAAAAAGAAATAGAAATCTTTATAAGATGATTTCTTATCCAGGGAATAGATCCATCATCCTATTTAAATATAGTTTCAGAGCAATTTAAAACTTTTTCGATTATTCTATATATGTTAAAAACTGTTGTTCTGAATTTTTCCTAATGTGGCATGATTGCTTTTTTTGTATTCTATTTTTTCTCATTTTGTTTTTATAGCTTCCATTCTAAAGCAAATTACTCTGCCTGGAAATAAAATTTTGTCGCTTCAAGCATCTACTACTATTCAGAAAAATAAAATACAAGAGAATGGAACAACATGTTTCAGGTAAAGACAATAAATAGTTAAAACTCGATCTGGTTTTAACTAGAAGGAGGTAATATTTAAACATGTCAAGGCATAATACCTAACCAAAATAGATATATTGCTACTTTTAAAAATACAGAACAGTACTTTGTAGAGTGTAATTTATAAACAGTGAAATGCCCAAATCTTAAATGTTTTGCTTGATGAATTTTCAAAACCATATACATATGTAGTCCAATCTGGAGTACGATAGTGAACATAATCATTCTGTACCTTTATGCACCTTTCAAATCGATTAGCTTCACCCCTGCCTCTGGTGGTCACTGTTCTTATGTCTTTCCTTGAACTTCACATAAGTAGAATATTTCATTATTGCCGTAGTCCTCCCTTAGCTGCAGTTTTGTTTTTTGTAGTTTCAGTTACTGGCAGCCAATAGTGGTCTGAAAGTATGAGATGGAAAATTCTACAAATAATAAGTTTTAAATTGGATGCTATTCTGAATAACATGATGAAATCACTTCATGCCTAGGAAGAGAATCACCCCTTCATCCAGCATATCCGTGCTGGACATATACTGCTTAACCCTTTAACAGCTGTCTTCCTTAGCAGATTGACTAGCATGGTGCTTATGTTCAGGTAACCTTCACGTTACCACTTAACATCATCAGCGGACTCTACTGCATACGGCTCCCTCCCAGTGCCAAGGCCGTTCAGTGCATGCCTGTCTTTCCCCTCACTTTGACTCATCCTGTAGGCATTGTGTCATCTCAGATCATCCATTGCAAGAAGGGTGCGCAGCAAAAAATAAGATATTTTGAGAGAGTGTGAACTGGGATTTGGTATTTTTCTTTTTCATTTACAGATCTTTTGAAGTCTGGATATTCTTTTTCTTCATGTTGTGCTGAGGCTGTGGTTCTCATTCTATGTGGTTTTCGGAGGAAATGTTGGAAGGTAGTCATTGTCTTCCAGTTCAGTGAGTTTTGATAAAAGGCTAAACTCAGGTACCACAAAGAATATTTTCAGCACCCTAAAAGTTCCCTTTTGCTCTCCCCAAGTCCCCACATTACACCCCAGACCCCAAAGAACCCCCATCTGCTTCCTAACATTACATTACACCCCAGACCCCAAAGAACCCCCGATTTGCTTCCTAACATTGTAGATTAGATTTGTCTCTCCTAGAGTTTTGCATAAATGGCTTCATAAAGTTTGTATTCTTCAGCCATTTTTCTCAGCATGTGTTTGATATAATTCTGTGTCGTTGCATGTATAAAGTGCTTTGACTTTTTATTGCTAAGCATATCCTTTCATTTACATGAAACTGTTTTATGGTTTCCTCTCTTGATGGACATTTGAGTTGTTCTATTTGTAGCAGTTCTGAATAAAACTGCTATGAACACTGTCCAAGCTTTGCGTATACATTTTTTTTCATACCATTAATACATAGGAGTGAAATTGCTGACTTGTGAGAAAACTGCCAAACTTTAAAATTTAGCCCTTCCTTGTTGGTATGTAGTTGGGGCTCATTGTGATTTTTATTTGCATTTCCATGGTAATTGATGATGATGAATATATTTTTGTGCCTTATTGTCCATTTGTGAAATTTCGGGGCTGGGGATTTAGCTCAGCGGCAAAGCGCCTGCCTGGCAAGTGCAAGGTCGTGAGTTCGGTTCCCGGTACTGGAGAAAAACCAAAAAAAAAAACAAAAAACCAGGGACTTTCCATTTGTGAAATTTCTTTTGTGAAATGTCAATTCAGATATTTTGCCTGCTTTTGAATTACTTTTTTCATGAACTTTTCCTAAGAAATTTAAGATGATCATTGATTTTTCTTTATATTAGTATTACGAATTACATTGGTTTTTAAATGTTAAGTCAACCTTGCATTACTGAGTACTAGCTTTTTTTATATTTTGCTCACTTGGATAAATATTTTGCTAAGGGTTGTATGTGTGTTCATAGATTTTGGCATAGAGTTTTCTGTTTTTATAGTGACTTTGCCAGACTTTGGTATTTGTGATTATCGTAGACTCAAAAAATGACTCATGAAGTCTTTGCCATTCTTGAGTTTTAAAATTTGTTGTATAATTAGTGTTATTTCTTCCTAACGTGAAGAATGGATTTGCCATTGAAATTAAATAGGTCTCTTGTTTTCTTTAGAAGATGGTTTTTGATAAAGTCAATTTCATTTATATATATAGGCTCTTTATTTGCTATTTAGTCTTAATGTCAGTTTCAGAGGTTTTTTTCCTAAGATCTTACATATTTCACTCATATGTTTTAAATTTATTGGCATGAAATTGTTCCTAAACTTATTTTGTTTTAAATATCTGTAGAACTGTATTTATAGTGTAGTATGGATTCTGCAAAGAATTTGGGGTATCTTAATAGGTGACTTTTTGGGGAATAAAATTGTTAATCTTACGTGATATCTATTAGTTTGGAGTGAAATTTCCTGTGTTTATGCCTTAGGTTTTAATCCATTTTAAAAGAATTAACTTTTAATTTTGTCATTCTTACTTATTCATTTTGTCTGTTTCATTGATTTTAAACGAAAGTAAGCCTTGCTTCAGGCTTAAAGTACCTATCTTACTTTTCTCTGGTTGCTGAAACAAAATACCCAGAACCTAAGATTAAGGGAAGAAAGGTTTATTTAACTCACAGTTTGTACAGGTTTCAGTCCATAATAGGCTGTCTCTAAGGTAGGTTGTGACACATGGCAGAGGGGCAGCAGCTCATGGAGGCAGAAGACAGCGAAAGCAACAAGAGCAAAAGGGGAAAACAAGCCTCTTCCTGCCACTTTTGTTTTTTCCAGACTGCTTGGATTAGGGTGGTGTCAATCCAGTCAGTGGACTCATCCAGCAGTCACCCACCCTTAACACCAGCACCCTTAATCTCAGCATTGAACCATGAATCAATCACACACTCTAGACTCAGCCACCTCCCCAAAAATGCTATGATTGCGTGAGGCTTTGCGGGGGGACATCTAGACACAAAACGTAACAGCGCTCTTCCTGTTCTACCGTCTTAGTTTGGAAATTTAGGTCTTTACATGTAAATCTTTTCTTATGTAAGCATTTATAACTCTAAATTTCTCTAAGTACTGATGTAATATCCATCTAAACACAATTTTGCATTCATGTTGAAATAGTTTTTCTTCTTTTCCTTCTATTTAATATTGTAAATATTTGAGGCTTTTCCAGATCATTTTTTTCATAATAAAATTTTATGATCAGAGAACATGATCTGTAATGTTTGTCCTTTTAAATTTGTTGATTCACCTCAGTTTGGCCCCTGTTGAGGACTATCTCATGAGTACTTGGAAAAATGTGTGTAATTAGTTTTGCGAGGCTTTTTCCCCCCATACATGTTCTTTTGGTGAAGGTACCTGTGTTAACATCTCTGTATCCTGGCTTTTTTTGCTTTGTTTTTGGACTTGTATCTCTTCATCAGAGTGGCTAGTGAAATCTCCAGCTGAGGTGATGGTTTGCTGGAGAGCGCCTCAGCCCTAGGAACGGGGCTGCACAGACCGGGTGGGGATGCTTCAGCCAGAAGACAGAAACTCTGTTCGTCCACTGTGCTCCCATTACCCGGTGATCGCATCCCTCTCATTTGTGCTTGTTTTTGTACAGTTTTCAAAAAGTCTTACCTTTAAAAATGGTATACTGATTTTGTGATCGCTGTTAATCAGGCTGTTCTGCCATTTCCAAAAACCACAACCTACATTTCTTTTTTAATGGCTTATTGTTCTGGTGTAGTTATCTATCTTTTCCTGTTTTTTGAATAATTACTTGGTTATTTTAAAGTCAGTGCTTTACTGTATCTGATATTCAATTTATCTTGGGGTTTGTTTCTGTTTTCTGGCTTTTTAGTCCTGTTTCGTGGTGGATTAGGTACTACTCAATTCACACTCAGTATAATTTTCAGAAAAAATTATAGGAGTTTTGGATTAATTTACTACAGAGAAAATTCCTCCTGTGCCCCAGAGGCCAGCAGAGGAGGAATTGTCTTAATCTGATTTCAGCCTTTCCAAGATTCTGTGTAACTTTGGTTCTCCCACCCAGGATGTGGCCCAGAGACTTAGGGTGCTTTTCTCTGTTATGAACCCTAACTTTTATTTCTCTGATACTTTCTCCAGTACCTAAAACTTAGTGTGTTTTCTGTAGACCTTCTTTGCTTATCTTCTCTGAATTTTCCTCTGCAGTGGGAAGCTTCAATGAGAGTGGCCTTATTTCTCCATAGACTCACGGCCCATCTGTCAAGTGTTGGAGGCTTTCAGTTTCGGCTTCCTCTGTCTCTGTGAGGGTGCCTAGCACTCTGTTGGCTTTTCTACCTCCTAGTAGCTGCTCTCTGTGTGGCTGTTCAGTGTCTTGTTCCACATCAAGAATTAGCACATGGCCAGGGGAAAACAAGATGAAGAAAACGGGGTTACTTCAGTGAGGCTGTCTGCTCTAAGGCCTGCGGCCCCGCCAGACCTGCTCTCCTGGCAGCTCTCTGCTGCCTTCAAACAAACTTAAAAAGAGTTCTTCTGGCTCTCAGTTTTCTGTACTCAGAGCAGTTGTCTGATATGACTGATGGTCAATAAATAGAAACAGTCTTCCTTGTGCAATTTTTTATACATTTTTGTGCTAAAGGATCTATTGGAGTTAGTTTACAATTTACTTTCTATTTCTGTGTAGTATATTTTGATAAACATAGGTGCTTAAGTAGGTAAAGTTGACAGTTTCTTTTGTGAAAGTGCTTGTTCAGACCATAACAGCTCCTCCTGGAAATCATGAAGATAATCTCCTATATTGTCTTCTTAAAGTTTTACTTTTACTTTAAACCTTTATGTCACCAGGAGTTAATTTTGTACTTGTTTATTTCTGTGGTATAGACTAGAGATCCTACTTTCAGCAGCATAGTTAAAGAGGCTGTCCTTCCTCAGTTACCTACAGTGTTCTGTGTGTCATATATGCAGATGTCTTTTCTGACCTATCTCTTCTTTCTGATAATAACGAATCTTAAATTTTCAGTAGCACACTG